ACTATATAATAAAGTAAAAGAAAGGCAGAAGTTGACCATATGTCATTCTACTTAGGATATGCAAATTGCTACAATCCCATTTACCAATTCACTACACCTACTTGAACTGAAGAGATTTAATGCCTTTGTTTGTTCTTGAACTTCTACAACCTGTTTCCTCCTCTCCCCCTTGAGGTTTATATTTTGTCCTTTTTAATAGAGTCTCATACCATCTTCTGCTTCTGAGTCACTCATCATTCTGATCTGAAGAACTCATCCTTTCTTCTCTGTCAGGATCTTCTTCCATCAAAATTACTTCTTCTTCAATTCTGAGTCATAATTGGTTAGAATGGGCCATTAGGCTTTTTCCTTTCTTTGAAATAATGGCTGTGTTATGTCACCTTTGCATTATGAAATTAACTGTCTCAGGACTTGCTCCTTTTTCTTTCTTATACTGTGGTGGGGTCAATATCACTCCTGAAATAATAACAATGATCATGCTGTAAAACTGAAAAAAAGGGTGTTTTCAGGAGAACCAAGATGTTAAAAATGCTGACTTTGAAACTACAATATTAAAAATATTGACTTTGAAATAAAAATATTACAGAAAGATAATTTAGAACACAAAATACAATCTTTTTGTAAGTGTACAAAGGATACCAGATTACTAATAGAAAATTACTGGGACAATGATAATTGAAACTTTTAGAAAAAGAAATGGATTTTGACACTTTAAGAATCAAGTTAAAATAAAGGACGTTTTGATTTAGAATTTATTTTTGTGAAACCAAACTCTCTGTAGTTTATAAAGAGCAGCAGAGTGATTTATAGTGAGGTGATAGCAATAGTCTTGTCATGGACCTTGGAAACCAGAGTAAACTGTTTACTCTTGAATGAGTGAAATTGTACTTTGAAATTATGTCAGTACGTTCACACTAGAAAAACAAATACATCACCAATTCTCTATATAAAGAGGCAAGCCAACCAGAAGATAAGAGTTTTGGCTTGTCTGCCTTCCGGTGCAGTCAGGCGGAGGGAGTAATGTCGATGATTGTAAAGAAAGCGTCATCTGTGTATTGCTAAGCAAAGAGAGTTTTGGCTCGTTTGCCTTCAGGTGCAGTCAGGCTGAGGGAGTGATGTCAGAGATTGTAAAGAAAGTGTCCGTTGTGTGTTGCTGAAAAAAGGAGGGTTTCGGCTTGTCTATCTCAAGTGCAGTCAAACTGGGCAGAGTGATGTCAGAGATTGTAAAGAAATCGTCTGCTGTGTGCTGCTGGACGGGAGGCGAAAAGCAAATACCACTGCTAACATCTAAGTACTGCTACTACTAATGCTACTACTACAATTATGACTGCTGATAACGGGAACATTGAAGGTTGTAGTAGTTGTGCTAAGAACAGACCAAAAAGTGTTAAAACGAAGATTACATCCCTCCTTACCTAAATTATTTGAAGTATTGTACTTGTTTGGTTATTGTTCACATACAAGAAACATTCAACCTTGTGCAACAAGAATTTTTTGTGTGTATTTGCTTTTAAAAAAAAGTTTGTTTGCTTAAAAAATAACTTTTGTCCTTTATAAATCGAATCGACTTGGTTATTTATTTTTTCTATTAACCCAATTCTCACCCAACAAACTCACTGGTTTTTACAATTTGATGACCACTCTCCAGAATTAAAAATATCACAACGTGGCTGGATGGTGGCTTTGAATTGACATTGGGAACAGGAGACTTGTTCTAACTTGTAATACTGGACCAACAGCCAGTCTGATGGAGTGCGTGGGTCCAGTGAGGTGAGGATTCAGTGTCACAATACCACATACTTTCATGTAAAATAATGACATTATTAATGGAGATCTTATTTCTCTACTCATTAATGCAGATGGACTTTGCAATCTGTCTGCACGTGGAAAGTAAGTAACCATCTATAGTATCTCTACTTGAGGAAAATGCTTTTAATTCTATTTTCACTGTCTGCACCATTCCGCAATCACATTAGATTGTGTGTGATACAGTGGTGTTTTGTAAGGGAAGCAACCAGTACTCCTCAACCAATTACATAGATCTTCATCACAAAATTCTGTTGTGTTGTCTGATATCAATGTTTTAGGGACTTCATTTCTAGAAAATATGACTTAGTATTTGTTTTATTGTAATCATTTTTCTATCTTTAACTTTAATGACTTCAGGCCATCCAGAAAAGGAGTCTACTAGAATTAGAAATAGTCTGATGTGTGCATGATCCATATGACCTTAGATCATGGTTCCATTTCTTTAGGCCATGAGTGTAGTCTCCTTTGTCAAAAATTCTTTATTTTTGGACATTTGTATACTTATCTTTCTATATCACAATAATATTCTGGCCACCATGCCTTCAATTTTAATCGCTGCATAGCTGCTATCCCAAAATGCACATCATCATGTACACTTTTTAAAATATCTCTTCTTACTGCTTATGGTGGTACTCTCACATCTTCATTGCATATAACACTATTTTCCATCATTAATTTATGCCTTATTTCTTTATAAGATCTTTCAGCTTTGGTACAATTCCTCCACTTGTTTCTTCTTATTCTTTCAGCAACCTTGCTTAATCCTGAAGTGTTTACCAATCTTTGTAGAGATAATATGTCAATTTCAACCCAATGTAATATTTCTCCATTTGGGATTTCCATTATTCTTTTTGATCCTTATCATATTGTAACCTTGACAGCAGATCAACATGTGTTATTGTTTTATGTACTCTGTCAAAATCATAAGCTATAAATTTTATGGCCTATATTAGAATCCTGAAAGAAATAACTTTTGGTAACTCCTTTCTAGAGTTAAAAATAAATTCTAGAGGTTTATAGTTTGACTTTAATAAGACTTCTCTCTTAATAAGAATTGTCAAACTCTGTGCTCCAGATAGTGTCCAATGCCTCTTTTTCAATATTTGAATAATTTATTTCTGCTGCCATCAACCTTCTTGAAAGGTACATTACTGGATGGCCTTCTTGTGATAAAATTGTTGACACTTGCATCCATAGTTAACTTAACCTCCTTTCTGGGATCAAATAATTTTTTTTTAAATCCTTGAATGCTAAGTTTTGTTTTTGAGTCAATTTGAACTCACTATTCATTTTCCACAATTCAGCAAATGGTTCTATTATGTCACTATATTTTGGTAGGTATCTGTTATAAAATTAACCAATCCTAAAAAGGATTCTAATTCTTTTTTATTAGTAGGTATAGATACCTCTGAAATTTTCTTAATTAACTTTGCGATCTTTTGAAATTTGGTACCTTAAATATGATATTATATCACAATCAAATTCACATGTCACCCCTGCATTTTTTAACTTGTTTAACACATGTTCTGTTTTTGTCTTAATTAGTCTGTAGTGGTGACACCAAGGCAAATATCATCTTGATAAATATTCATATTACTTCCATCAGTTAAAATGTTTTCCATTGCTCTCTGAAAAATTTTTTACTTTGAAAGATATTTTCATCTTTCTTAATAATGCTATGGAGGTGTTTATTGTGGTAATTTCCTTAAATTTATCATCAATCTGTAGTTGATTTTAGGATGATTTTTAAATCAATTTTTGCAAAACATATTGATAGTTTTTAGATAATGGTTTTGATTTTGGGAAGAGGAAAAGAGTCTTAGCATATTTTATGATTTATGCTTATTTTAAAATAATTTTGACTTATCCACCTATACGTAGTCCATGAATTGTTTTACATTTCACTACTGTAATGGGAATAATTTCAAATTGGTCACTAGTTTCAAACATTCCACTGAAGTATTCCAAAGTTTTTACAAAATATCCATCAAATTGTCTCAATTTCAGATTACTTTTTCTTAGTTTCAGTTTACCCATTTGTTCCCAGAAATTTCTTGGGATCAGAGTAACTTCACTCCCTATATCCACTTGTATTGAAAATGTCATACCATTTAATTTAATTTTTTCAAAAGAATTCTTTTCTTTAGGTCTCTGTATTGAAAAAAAAAATGTCATCAATTCTCTCTTCTTTTCACTTTTTCTTTACTGTCTCTTTTCTTTTTAACTTTGCATACAGACTGAAAATGATTTTTTCTTTGGCAGTTATGGCAATTCTTTTTCAAAGGCAAGGTTTTTTTTTTTTTTGTCAGTTTTATGCTCATAGTTACAGTATTTGTATTTCTTCTGTTGCTTTTTTATACTGTACATTTCAACATTATCCTCAGTAGAATTATATTCTTTCATCAATTCCAGCTGTTGCATAATTTCCACACATGCAGTTACAAATTATTCAATTGTAATGGTTCCAATATCTTATATTTATGAAATGTATCAACCATATCTTCAATCAACTGTAACTGAATCAATTTATCCTCAATAGTCAAATCTTGAATTTCAAGTTTCTCAAATTTTCAGAATCTGTTAACTTTTCTTAATCTGTGAAAATATTGACTAACTGATTCATCTTGTTTCTGTGGTTATTTCTGCTATGAAAAGTTTCTTTTTAGGTCATAAACTTTTTATAATTTCTGAAATTTCAATGAAACTCAAATTCTCCAATTGCTTGGCGTATGCCATAACAGAAATTTTCATTATAGCTTTACAACTTGCCAAAACTAGAAAGAGGTCAGTTATTTCATTTTCTGCCTTTCTTGCTTGGTTGTCTTTCAATTTTTAGCTTTGACCAGTGCTGCAAAACACCAGATCTAAGTCTTGACAAATTCTAGTTCATCCAAGCAACTTAACAACCTAACAACAATATCTTATTGTTGTACTGTGTTGTTCTACATGTGATCAGTTGTCAACTTCTGGCCTGTCTGTTAGTTTACTATACACTTTATATCTCTTCTACTTAACATATACAAATAGGTACAATCCTATTTACCAATCCACTATAGTAATGTTTCCTTCTTACTTTTGCTTAAATATATTGATATTGTTCCATGCATTTATTAAAATCTGTTTCTAACATTACTATAAAAAATTTTCTTTTGATTAAGTGTAAAATTTTGTCATTTTTTTTTGTTTTGCAGGAAATTTCGCTTTTGGTATCAGACATTACCATTAAAACAGAAGAAAATGATGTTGAGCTGGCAAAATATTTTGATGATGCTGACAATTCTTGCGGGTCTGGGAATGTTCTATTACATTTCTCATCTTCAAGAGACACCAATTACAAAGCGAATACGTTTTATTGCTTTTACAGATGAGCAGTTCATGAAAATTGCTAACTTTGAAGCAAAATTGGTATAAAAATTACTTTTTATTTTACTGTTTGTATATATTTTTTTAAATTTCAAGTTTAGAATTTTTTATCAACATGAAAAAAAAGCCCCATGGAAATCTCAAAAGTGTTAACAACTAAGTTTATACATTATCTTATTTTTCCAATATTCATTCACCTTTTTCTCATTCTCTTCCTCACCTATTGCAGTTTTTACCCATCCATGTTTTTATCTCCATTTTATGTAAACATTGATGAATTTTATATGCAAACACAAAAGTAATAAGAAATTGTAAATATTTTCTATTGCATCTTTTCTGTATATTAACTCCATGTGTCACTCCATAAATAGTTTTAATGTATCACAGTAATAATGTATTCTTTTCTCTTGCTGTCTTTAAATATTCAACTCATTTCCTCTTATCATCCAGCTATTTCATTTGTGGTCCCAAAGAGATAATGAATAAGAATATACTAGGAGCAGGAAAGAGTTCACAAGATAGAGGATATACCTGCAGGCAGTTACGTAACATCCTCTTTTGTATGTATGTGGATTGTGGAAAAAGGCAGGAGTACAGAGGTGAATGGGATAGAAACATTTTCAGATTAGGTTGGATGGAAAGCATTAGAGGTAGTAAGGTAGTCCATTGCTTGTCACTTTGATTCACTGATGTTCATTCATCCTTATACTGGGTAGATTAACAGATAGTTTGGCCTGATTGCATTTATATTGGTCTATTGGATGGCATCAGGTCTTGTGTTGTTTTATCTTTCAATATGTCTCTTTCTGTCAGTGGTGTAAGTTTCTCTGCCTGTAGTTGCTTCCAAACAGCTGCTGGTGTTGGATGTTACTGTTTGGGAAACGAGTGCATGGAGCATGTGGTTTGGTTCAGGAATCTATGAACGACTGGTCAGCTGTGACCATTGCTTCTCTCTACTTTCTCACCTGTGTCCTTAGTGGCTGGACACAGACATTGTCACATTGTCACTTGAGGCTTTACATTTCTATGCTCATGTCCTGTCATATTATGGTGCCATGGAGCATCTCATTGTGCTAAAGTGGGGTAGTCCATTGCTTGGGCTGTGATTGGCTGCTGGTACCTGAGTGGAGGTATTTCTATATAAATACCAGCTTGATTCATCAGTTAGTTTGCAGGGTTTGTATTGAGTTCATCCCCTAGTATATTGTTGTATTTTCGATTGACGTGTGCATCGTGATTGGGAAAAAAAAAAAAAGTGAACGGTTAGATTTTGTTTTTGTTTGAAAATTTTATTTTCACACTTTTTTTGTTGTCGTTTTTGAGTTTGTGCATTGCTTTTTGATTTCTTTATTTTTGACCCTCCCCTCGTTTTCGTTTAAATTATTTTTCGTTTTGAACTGTTGATTTGATTTTGTTTTTTTCACGTGTTGTTTTTACACACAGTTTCTATTTTATTTTATTTTCGTTTCTCCCCGTTTGTCTGTTAATTATTGTTCTTAACAAAAAAAGAAGAACGTAAAGGCGAACCTTTTTTTCGTGTAACTGCCGTGGGGAGAAATCCCCATGGCGGACATTCTTCAAGCTACACCGTCTCTCTTACGATTGCAAACTGACACACCGTCGCCACCAAAAACATCGGCCTGGACGGGAGACAGTCCGAAAAGGAAGAACGCCGCTTACTATCAGGAACAAAGAGAGAAATATGGTGAATTCGTCAAAGGAAATGAATTCCTGACGATCCAAGAAGCATTCGATGGAATAAAAACAAAAACCATCTCCTTCTGACAGCAGATGTGAAGAGCCGGAAATTGGCTGGCTTCAGCAGGGGAAAGTATGGAGGAGGCACTCAGAAGCCTGAAAATTGCTCCCAAATTATTGGCCAGAAGATCAAATGCCATGTGGGACATCCTCCTAGCTACAGAGCAGGAAGCCAAGCAACTGTCAGCAAGCATACTGCAAACAACTTCAATTCAGTATGCAGACGGAATATATGGGCACCCCCCGAACAAAGATCACGGTGCATGGGGTGCCTATAGACATTGGAGCAGACAGGATAGGAGGATTCTTTGCCAAGTATGGTCAGGTAGAGGATGTGTCGCCTGTGACTAGCAAATCTGGCATAGCCACGGGTGACATGGCCCTGCAAGTCATTTTGGACAGGGGGCTTTTAGGGACATTCCCAATACTCTCATATGCCGTGAAAAGAGGATGCTGGTGGTGGTGGAGGGACGTAAGCCATTTTGTTGGTCATGCGGTGTTCTGGGACACATGGCCAAGGTGTGCCCAGGTAAAAGGTACAGCCTCCACCCCTCCAGCTACAAAACCAACAACTGCAGTAGCAACAGCATCAGAAACAGTAACATCATCAGGAAAGGCCTCGGATGGGGAATGGGTGAAGGTAAAGGGGAAAAAAGACGGCACCTTCTCCCCCTGAAGCGGAACGAGCAGCCGCCCAAACAGCAGCAGCCACAACAAGAGAAGGGCAGCCCCAAGAAGCCACAACAAGAGAAGGGCAGCCCCAAGAAGCCACAACAAGAGAAGGGCAGCCCCAAGAAGCTGCGGAAAAGCAACAACAAACCCAAAAAAGGGAACAGCAGGCAAAAGTAGCGAAACAAGCAAATCGAGAGGGGGAGATGGAAGTGGAGGAAATGCCCCACCACGCTCTTCCTCGTCAAAAAGAGGGAGGGATGAAGAGGACGAGGAGATCCCACCAAAAAAGAGAAAGTGTCAGGGAGAAGCAGAGAGAGAGAGAAACAACAGCATCAAGATCACCATCTGTCCTACTACATCAGAAGAAGCGGAAGTAACAAAGTCCCGCTCTAGAAGCGCATCGGCATCTCCAGCAAGGTCACAATCCCCTCACTGTGCGCCCCCCCAACCCTTTACCCAACCCACTACCCAACTTCCTACTCAGTCATCTACCCAACCACCTTCTACTACTCCCCACCGTCAACTTCAACCCCGCCACACCCTTCCAGGAAAAAAAGAAGGTGAAAAAACACTTTGACAGGGTGGAAGACATTTGTAGAGTGGACAGGAAGGAGGCGGAGAGGGATCTTTCGACACAGAGAAAGACACTCTTGGGGCCCTCTCTTCAAAGTTACGTCTGTGGACGGGAAGTCTCACGGAAGATCCAAGAAACTTTCCCCGAGCACCAGGGGTGATTACATGTATCTACGAGATACAGGGAAGCACCTGAAGGTTTGGGGCCCACTTGCAAGAGGCCAAGGATGCCTTCCCTGAGATCCGGATGGTGCAGACAGGCACACCAAACTTGAAAAAAATTATTCACCTACTGTGCAGGGAGGGTCCCAGTATGTCTCCACCCCTCTCTTTACAGGGTTTTAAAATTAACGTACCCCATGGATGTCGGCGGGATTGTCTCGGATGGACGGATGGCGTCAGAGATGGGTACAGGGAGCCTGGGACAATCCGTCGGGGTCCTTACACCCGCAGATTTCCGGCCCGTATGTGAGTAGGTTTTTGCTCTGACTTTTTTTCTCTTTGCAAGCCTAGAAAATGGAAACCAAGTTAGCGACGTTAAATGTGAAGGGCTTAAGGGATCGGGGTAAGGCTGCCCGCCTGCTCCGGGACCTTCTGTCCCTGGATGTAGATGTTGCCGCGATCGAAGAGACACACTTTGTTTGCAGTGCCGATGCGTGTGCTGGAGAAACGACTTTGTCGTCTATTCAGCATATGGGGACCGGTTTGCCAGAGGGTTTCTTTGCTTGTCAGACGGACTCTTGATGCGAAGGTGGACCTTGTGCATACCGATGCGAGGGTTGTTGATCGTGGGTCGATATTGCCGTGAAAAGTGGTTCGTTCGAGTCGTTACCCGGTTTATCGCCCAATGACCAGGAGGAGAGGGTCTCGTTTTTTCGGGCAGTTGGGGCCGTTCCTGGTTGATTCAACGCGCCTTGTTTTAATGGGGGACTGGAATGCCATCCTGGACTCCAAGTTAGACAGGGGTGGGGAGCTAGTGGGAGAAGGGGCGATCGTAGCCTGGTTGAGCTGATCGACGATTATGGTCCGTCGATAGATACCGGTCGATCATCCCGGGGAAAATGTGGACGTGGGCTCTTAATTGGCCTTCTGACAAGGTGGTTAGCTACCTTGACAGGATGTTAATTAGAAGAGCCGACATAGATCTATTAGATTGCCCTAACGTTCCACTGGGTAGGCTACACGGACCACAAACTCGTTTGTGCCCGGGCTGATCTTAGTCCGTAGGCCTAGAATGGCTGGCTACTGGAAGTTCAATCTGTCTTTACTGGACAGGTAGGACTTCCGGGAGCAGCTAACTAGATTAGTGCAGCAGGGAACTAGTGGGGGCGTTATCGGGAATAGGTGGTGGGAAAACCTTAAAAAGTAGGATTAGGTCTTTCACCACTGATTTCAGCAAACGACTTCGCTCTAGATAGAGCTGAAAAGGTGAAGACACCAAAAGCTAGTTACACCCAGGCGGTGGCTGGGGGATCCCCTAGAGAGATAGGGTTAGCTAGGGCGGCCCTGGATCGTTTGAATAGCGAGCGGTACATGGGCCAGGTAATTAGACATAAGTTAAGCAAGATGTCTTCGAAGCTGTGAACTCCCAGCATGGCAGATCTGCGCAGGGAAGAGGTTCGTCGAGGTGGCGATCGTTACATTTCGTGAAGTCGAGTCCCGAGGCATACTCTTCGGGCCACTGACGACATGAATGAGGCGTTTAAAAGCGCCATTTCGAAGCCGGTTTACCAAGGAGCCTGGTCTCCGTGAGGAGGAGTTTTAGCTATTTGCTGACATTTCGGCTTTCGCCGACTGAAGCGTAAAAAAAAAAAAAAAGGGAGAGATCACGGAGGCGAAGTCACGCCGGTATTGAAGAAGGTGGCAGAGGCAAGTCGCCCGGTCTGGATGGTTTGCCCTATGAATTGATGCTTGAGGCTGTCGCACATCTTTGTTCCGATTTTGACAGCAGTGTTCAACAACTGGTTTCGGTCGGGTCCATCCCCAATCGGATCACCATGGGTGTGATCACTCTGTTGAAAAAGGGGCAAAGGTGGTGG